AGTTTAATACTATGAGTGTTTTTATTGCATCATACCTATATAGCAGGTCAGTTATATTCCGTTTCAGAAAAAAAATCGCAAAGCAGTCAACAGAGAATAGAACATAAATTCCATTTATCTATTGTTCTGTTCACAGACATCATTTTTAATGTGTAGCAAGTAAATGTTGTTAATTACGCAAGATGCTTATTATTTTTGCCGATTGATGCACTGATTAAGTAGCGCATGTAGTCTAACTTATTGTACTACATACTTATTGTCATATTTTTCTTACCTTGACCTTTGAACTAGTGACCCCAAAATCAATAGGGGTCATCTACTACATATGACTTCTCAATATGTGAAATATGAAGACTTTGTGATACAGTGGAACCTGTCTAATTCGAACTTGTCCGGACCAGAAGAAAAGTTCGGATTAGAAAGTTTTCCGGATAAGAAGGTTTTTTTACATGTTTGTTCATGTTATTGGCAGAATAGTTTAAGGAGAGAAAACGGGAATGCATTTTAAATTGCAATATAATATTTTATTATTGCAATCTCTTATCGTTCATTTTAATACATGTGAATATAAAAATAAACTAGAACTATCATTAAATGTGATTAATACCCCCCCCGCAAGACTGCTTTAGAAATGAGGAAGTTACAAGTAACAAAATACCTTGTAAAAGAATTGAAATAGAGTTATGGTTGTGGGCAATTAAAGATAGTTGTGGTTCTTGTATGTTGCATTTGCTTTCAATGTGGTTGACCATTGATGAAGTTTTATTGAATTACTCTGTAATAAATCCAGAAAGAGCTACGCTTCTTGAGCACTGCACTTCCTCTCAATGCGCTTGACCATTGTATGAAGTTGCATTGAATTCTAAACATTAGTTTTTAAGTTATGCACCAGACAAGGAAAAGGAACAAAAAGCAATAACTCTACAAATATTGAAGATGGAGTTATGGTTATTTTACACTGCACTTCCTCTCATTGCGCTTGACCATTGTATGAAGTTGTATTTAATTCCAACTACTAGTTTTCAAGTTATGCACTGAACAAAAAAGTAACAAAGGGCAATAACTGTAATTAGTCCAAATAGAGTTATGGTTATTGTGCACTGCACTTCGACTCACTGCCCTTGACCATTGTATGAAGTTTCATTGAATTCCAACCATTAATTTTCAAGTTATGCACTGGACAATAAAAAGTAACAAAGGGCAAAAACTCTTAAATGAGTCAAGAAAGAGTTATGGTTTCTGTGCACTGCGCTTCCCCTCAATATACTTGACCATTGTATGAAATTGTATTGAATTCCAACTAGTAATTCTCAAGTTATGCTTTGGACAAGAAAAAAGCAATGGAAAAGTAACAAAGGGCAATAAATCTATAATTACTCTGGAAAGCGTTATGGTTCTTGTGTAATGCACTTCCTCTTATAGTGCTTGACAATTACTCTGAAGTTGTTTTGAATTCCAACCAGTACTTTTCAAGTTATGCTCCAGACAAGGAAAAGTAACAAAGGGCAATAACTCTGTAATTATTGAAGATAAACTTATGGTTCTTGTGCACTGCACTTCCTCTCAATGTGCTTGACCATTGTATGAAGTTTTATTGAATTCCAACCATTAGTCTTCAAGTTATGCTCCGGACAAGGAATATGCAACGGACCGCTGGACCGACCAATCGAGCGACCACCGGGTGACTCCTATATACCCCCCAAACTTTGTTTTGGGGGTATAATAAATAAAGATAAATAAATAAGCAAAAATGTTATCTCCTCAAGGGTAAGTTTACCTACATGTATGATGTTAAACAGGAGGCTGAGACATGATTAAATATTCGTACCAGCATTTGTCAATTGTTGTTATACTCTTATCAGATTCGGCGATTATCCGAATTCACTGACAGTTTCCATTAATTCTGTTACTTAATCACGTGTCATTAAATTCGTTACAAATAATTAAAAGATATTTGTATTGCATTATATCAAAATATTTATTGAAGGTGATGAAAAACAATAAGTAGATATCAAGGCAAGAAAAGTGTAATTTTCACACCTTTACTGATCATACGTTTCACCCATTAATCAGGCAAAATTACTCTTATCAGTTTGGTGTATGTTTACAGCTGTAAAATATGCGATTTTTTGTTATTTTGAATGTAGGTGTGACATTTGGCAAAATCTGTTCGAATCCGAGAGGTTAATTTTATAATAAAATAAGAACAAAAATTGAGAAAATCATCCGGAATTCGGAGTAGACAGGTTCTGGATCCGGAAAGTTTTTTACTATTGAAAATATAACAATATGAAATCGGGACCAGACACTTCATTCGGATAAGAAAGGATTCCGTATTAGAAGGGTTCGGATTAGCAAGGCTCCACTGTAAATGGTTTTCAAGATAATGAGCGGATAATGACATTTAAGGCCCCAGTGACCTTGATCTTTGAACTAATGACCTTAAAATCAATCGGGGTCACCTACTAAATATGACCAATCAACATGTGAAATATAAAGACTCGGTGATAAACAGTTTTCAAGATAATGAGCAAAAACCATTCTGACATTTAGACCCCTGTAACCTTGACCTTTCTCTAGTGACCCAAAAATCCACTAGTTATGACCAATCAGTATGTGAAATATAAAGACTTTGTGATAAGTTGTTTTCAAGATAATGAGCGGAAACCATTCTGGCATTTAAGGGCCCTGTGACCTTGACCTTTGTCTAGTGACCCCAACATCAAAATGGGTCATCTACTAGTTAAGACCAATAAGTATGTGAAATATGAAGACTTTGTGATAAATAGTTTTTAAGATAATCAGTGGAAACTATGTGGTCTACCGACTGAGAGACCGACAGACCAAACATTAGCAAAACAATATACCCTGTCTTCTTCGAAGGGGGGCATAATAAGTTACATGGTGTTCGATTCCTGGCAAATTAAAATATTGACTGAATCGTACCCGTCCTGTCACAGTATTAAACTAGAGGATGCTTTTGTAAAAAAGCGCATGTCTCCCCCACTGCACTGTGACCTTTGACCTACTGACCCCAAAAACAATAGGGATCATCTGCTCTATAAGACCAATCATCCTATGAAGTTTGAGGGCTGTAGGTCAAAAGGAACTCTAGTTATCATCCGGAAACGAGAAATTGACCAACGGTCACTGTGACCTTGACCTTTGACCTACTGACCCCAAAAACAATAGGGATCATCTGCTCTATAAGACCAATCATCCTATGAAGTTTGAGGGCTGTAGGTCAAAAGGAACTCTAGTTATCATCCGGAAACGAGAAATTGACCAACGGTCACTGTGACCTTGACCTTTGACCTACTGACCCCAAAAACAATAGGGATCATCTGCTCAATAAGACCAATCATCCTATGAAGTTTGAGGTCTGTAGGTCTAAAGGAACTCTAGTTATCATCCGGAAACGAGAAATTGACCAACGGTCAGTGTGACCTTGACCTTTGACCTACTGACCCCAAAAACAATAGGGATCATCAGCTCTATAAGACCAATCATCCTATGAAGTTTGAGGGCTGTAGGTCAAAAGGAACTCTAGTTATCATCCGGAAACGAGAAATTGACCAACGGTCCACTGTGACCTTGACCTTTGACCTACTGACTCCAAAAACAATAGGGATCATCTGCTCTATAAGACCAATCATCCTATGAAGTTTGAGGGCTGTAGGTCTAAAGGAACTCTAGTTATCATCCGGAAACGAGAAATTGACCAACGGTCACTGTGACCTTGACCTTTGACCTACTGACCCCAAAAACAATAGGGATCATCAGCTCTATAAGACCAATCATCCTATGAAGTTTGAGGGCTGTAGGTCAAAAGGAACTCTAGTTATCATCCGGAAACGAGAAATTGACCAACGGTCATGTGACCTTGACCTTTGACCTACTGACCCCAAAAACAATAGGGATCATCTGCTCAATAAGACCCAATCATCCTATGAAGTTTGAGGGCTGTAGGTCAAAAGGAACTCTAGTTATCATCCGGAAACGAGAAATTGACCAACGGTCACTGTGACCTTGACCTTTGACCTACTGACCCCAAAAACAATAGGGATCATCAGCTCTATAAGACCAATCATCCTATGAAGTTTGAGGGTTGTAGGTCAAAAGGAACTCTAGTTATCGTCCGGAAACGAAGAATGGACGGACGGACGGACTGACGGACGGACGGACTGACGGACGGACGGACTGACGGACTGACGGACGGACAGGGCAAAAACAATATGTCTCCCCCCGAGGTGGGGGAGACATAATGAGTACTACTAGTACGGACGTAATGGAATTTTCGTGTCCTAATGCTTCCCCTGTAATTTTAACAATTACACAGATCTAAACAGACATTTGTCTCTTCTAAAGGTATGCAGTGCCCTGCTGACCATTCCTTGTGTGCATAAAACCTCGCCTGTTTTCTTTGTATAGAATTATAAGACAATTTTTCAAAACAACTTGGAGTCTTATTTTTATTTTAGACAATGTTCCCAAACATCTTGGATTCTAAAATTCAAAGATGATCATTATTTTTAGCTAAATAAATTATAAATAAAAAAATAGAGGTATTGTTACAGTTACTCAAACTTGTACCTTGATCATAACTTTTAAGTTCTTGGTGTATTCTTTTCATACTTGGCCATAACAACCCTTGGGACAAGACCTTTCAGTAGACCAGACTAACATTGACCTTCATCCATAAATGATGTTGACATTCAAGGTCATATTTCAAAATTTTGCTTTTTTTTTTTGCTATTTGTGTATTATTGGCTATAACTTTATTATTTTTGAATGGATTGTCTTCACACTTGAGCATAATAATAAGGATAGCCCTTCAAGTTAACCAAACAGACTTTGACCTTCACTCATAAATATAAGCATAAGATAAAGTTTGCACACCATCCAAGACATTCTGATTCTATATCAAGGATATTTTTACATTAAATTCACCTGTGATATGTAAATCTTTTATAAGTTTTATTTGACATGCGTTCACTTACAACATCTGTGGCTAGTTGATTGTAGTATAGGCGCATTAGTTCTTCAGATCTTTTAGAATTATCATCCAGCCTTGTTTTGAAATCATCATGCAGCATGTTATACAGTTTTTGTTCCTCAAGACCTGTCCGTTGAAAGAAGTAAGTTATCGCCCGTAGATGAGTCTTCATCTTGTCATAGTACTCTGGTTGTTGCTGAAATAATAATTAAAAAACAAACTCCACATAAAAGCCTCCGTTATCACAATTACTGTCGTTCAAAATTTGAATAAATTATGGTGGCTGATTTGTGCCATTCGTGTTTTCGCCCCGCGACCCCGCCAAGCGAAAAGTCGAAAATAAACAAGTTTAAATTGCGGGGGTGCTGGACGAAAACACGCTTATTAGTGGGGGCGCTGCAGCGAAGTTTAATAAATAAAACTTCACTATGCGGGGCTGCGGAGCGAGATTTAAGAATAAACAACAGGGTCGCGGGACAAAAACACGTTAATAAGCAGGGTCGTGGGGCGAAGTTGAATAAACAAGCAATTATCATAGTATTGCAAGCAATCCATAAGTCCCCTACCGGTTAGAACCCCAACAACATTCTGATGGGCCATTGGCCATTCAATTTTACCAGTGAATGAATGAACTTAAATCTTTTGAGTTCTAAGTTTGTCTATATCACAGTGATGTGTTAAGTTTCCCTGCCTAGTAAGGAAATTATGTTTATATAACCTTGTCATACTATTACGATGTGGGATTTTAAAGTAAATCCTATAAGGAATGAAGAAGTTGGAGTGAAAAATACCAATTTCTCGAAAAAAATCTAAGTTCAAGGGGGACATAATTCTGAAAATAGTCTTGCTAGAGTATTTAACCTTCTAAAAAATGTTGAGTGATAATAAGAAACATATATATGAAGTTTGAAGTAGATACATTAGGAAATAAAGAAGTTATTTAAAAAAGACAACATTTTTTTTTCATAAAAATTCTAAGTTCAAGGGAGGTAATACTGATAATTTTTGTGCTAGAGTTGTAAACCTTGTCACATATGATGTGGTTGATGACCAGAAACTTAAATTTAAAGTTTGAAGTAAACACCTTAAGAAATAAAGAACTTCTAGTGAAAAAGCTGAAAAATTTACATCAGAAATCTTGAAATTCAGGCTTTTTGTTGCCATAGCAACCAGAATTTTCAACATAGGAAGAAAAAAAAAAAGATGTGCATAATCTCCAGACTGCCATCTACCCATATTTCAAGTTTCATTTAAATATTTTCAGTACTTTTTGAGTTATCACTGGATCCAGTTTATGTGTTAAATTTGCCATATTTTCAGACTATTTGTTGCCATAGCAACCAGAATTTTCAGTTAAACCGGTAGGGGACTAATAAAACTTCGCCTTGTGCCCCCGCTAATTAGCGCGTTTTTGTCCCGCAACCCTGCCAAGCAAAAAGTCGATAATAAACATGTTAAATGGCGGGGGCGCGCAGCGAAAGCACGCTAATCAGCGAGGGTGCAGGGTGAAGTTTAATCAATAAAACTTTGCCCCGCGGGAGCACGGAGCAGGATTTAAGAAATAAAACGAAGGGGTCGCGGGACCAAAACACAATAATTAGCAAGGGCGTGGGGCGAAGTTAAACAAATAAAACTTCGCCGCGCGCCGAAGCTAATAAGCGTGTTTTTGTCCCGCGACCCCGCCAAGCGAAAATGTTGATAATTAACATGTTAAAATGGCGGGGGCGCTAATAAGTGTTTTTTTGCTCCACGCCCCCGCCATTTTAACTTGTAAATTTTTCAACTTTTCGCTTGGCGGGGTCGTGGGCGAAAACACGAATGGCACAAATCAGCCACCAAAATAAATGTTTTTGTCAATTTGGTTTATTTATATACCTGTATCAGTATAATAATTCAAATGGAATAAATTGGTAATTTTTCAAGTCTTTATGCAATATATATTTTGTTTACGATTCAAATATTAACTCATGGGGACAGGCAACATTATAGCAAACCTATGTCACCTGTAGAAAGCCAGCATGCACTTTGACCAAATTTTATATCGTTTACTACTCAATTCCAATATTTTGGTTTTAATATCCCTTAAACTTTTAATGAACTATTCTACAGATTGAAAGTAAAACAGGAAGGTGAAATAATTATAAATCTGAAAGGTAGTCTTACAAATTGACAATGAAATGCATCGGTATTGATGTGTGTCAGACATATGATTCTCCTTTTAACATATAAGATTTCTGAATCTCAGGTTACTTAAAAGCTTAAAGGGAACATTGTTAACAAGATTTTCTAAATACAAACCCCTGTGAGGAGCTGCTTGTCCAGGGATTTCAAAATTAATTCCCATAATTGCTCATGTACATATGGGTAGATGTCTGGCATCAGCTGGCTGTTCAATGTTTGTAGATTAGTGTTCAAATATCCAAGAAATTTGTCCACAGACTAAACAAAGAAATGTAAAATGATGGATTCAAATCAGCAACTTTTTTCAATAAAGAACAATAAGATAAAGCAAACTAGAAGTGTGTCCACAGAACATGGATGCCCTTGCAATATATCGTTTTTCACCTTAAAGTACTACCTTGACAAGGGTGCAAAAGCAAGACACAGGTCCGTAAAAGTTATAGACGGATAAACATAATTTGGCCTTTCACCTTGACCTTTTATCTTAGCTCTAGCTTTAAGTTTTTACTTTATACATATAAGGAAAACACATGACTCCAAGGACAGGAACAATTTTGCTCCAAGGGAACTTGGAAGAAATTTGTGTTCTAATTTTTTATATTTGCAGTTCGTATAAACAAATATGCATTTTACAAATTAACAAATTTATCTCAGACTGTTTTATAATATCATAAAAACATTTATAGAGAATAATAGGTAAAGTTAAACAGATTATGCTTATAAAGATTGTAAAAGTATAAAGACAGGTTATCTGGAGCATGAATTCTTATTTTTTTCATTTATCAAAAAAACCCCAAAAAAACGTTTCTACGTAGAATATGAAAAAAATGAAAAACAGAGTCCAGTAAAAAAGACATTCTACGTTATTCACAGTCGCTAGAAAGGTGATAAAATTACATCGATTATATAATCAATGTAATTTTATCAACTTTCTAGCGACTGTGTTTCAGTTTAATTTTTGATACTATTCAGTACACACGTATAGAGATTTTGTGCTCTATTGTGTGCACATTATACATGTAATACACACCTGATGAAGGCATAATACGCCGAAAGTACTTGGGTTTTTATACTTTAGCACTGTATGAACATTTATTTTCTCCAAATTTTTATATATATATATATATATATAAAAATATTTATATAAAAAAAGTATGTTTTGGGTTATGCAGAGTACAAAGTTCGTTAATTTTTTATACGTTTTTTTCTGTTAGCGCTTTCAAATGTTTTCAGACAGTCAAGATATTATTAGCAAGGGCAAGATATGTGAAAACATTTGAAAGCGCTAACAGAAATAAACGTATAAAAAATTAACGAACTTTGTACTCTGCATTTCCCAAAACATACTTTTTTTATACATGAGATCCACACAAGGAATCGAACTTCTTTTTTTTTATATATATATATGCATATACATATAGATAAAATAATAATGTTTAAGAAATAACAAACTCTATGTATATTCGGTAGCGCTTTCAATGCTTTCTTCGCATATCTTCAGTCGAAACTTTAATAAACAATAAACATATAAACAAATGAAGTAACGTCATGAAAAAAGTGGGAATGTTAAATTATAATGTATTTCCCGGCAAACACAATATGGTAATTTATACTGTAAAATGATAATATTACGGACTTTTAGCATAATCCGTACAATCTGGCAGTGAATTAATGACATTTATTAAAGGGAGGTAATAAAATCCACATATTAATTATTTTATGGCCACAAATTGTATGGTAATTAACAATTTTTACTGAATAAATATTGATAAATGATGTATATACTGGTATACGATGTTAATGGATAAATGATGTACTTACTGGTATACAATGTTAGTGGATAAATGATGTATATACTGGTATAAGATGTTAATGGATAAATGATGTATATACTGGTATACGATGTTAATGGATAAATGATGTACATACTGCTTGGTATACAATGTTAATGGATAAATGATGTACATACTGGTATACAATGTTTATGGCTAAATGATGTACATACTGGTATACGATGTTAATGGATAAATGATGTACATACTGCTTGGTATACAATGTTAATGGATAAATGATGTACGTACTGGTATACAATGTTTATGGCTAAATGATGTACATACTGGTATACGATGTTAATGGATAAATGATGTACATACTGGTATATGATGTTAATGGATAAATGATGTACATACTGGTATACGATGTTAATGGATAAATGATGTACATACTGATATACGATGTTAATGGATAAATGATGTACATACTGGTATACGATGTTAATGGATAAATGATGTACATACTGGTATACGATGTTAATGGATAAATGATGTACGTACTGGTATACAATGTTAATGGATAAATGATGTACATACTGGTATAGGATGTTAATGGATAAATGATTTACATAATGGTGTACAATGTTATTGGATAAATGATGTACGTACTGGTATACAATGTTAATGGATAAATGATGTACGTACTGGTATACGATGTTAATGGATAAATGATGTACGTACTGGTAAACAAGGATATACTTACAGACACTTTCTTAGGCTCTTTCTTGGTAAATATTTCCATGTAACGTTCAATATCACCCTTCATTTTCTCACAGATTTGTTTCAGCAATTTTGCACTTTTAATCAAGATTTCTTCATTAGATAGGTCAACCAGACGTTGAAGAGTGCCTTGTGCCTGATGTCCTATAGCATCGTTACAGTAACGTGTGGATATCATCATAATTATGTTGTCCCAGGCCAGGAGGCTTGACAATCCACTGAGGTACATACGTACGTGCTCTATGTTGTTCAGTGTAATACACAACTGAAAAATTAGCCTTACTTATCAAATATTGAAACTATTTCTTTATATACATGTTCTTTCTATTGATGATCAATTAAATATTTAAGGATGCAACATCAAATATTTCAGAACGTCAGCATGCTGAAAATTCATGTATAAATAACTTACCCTATCATTGACGTCAAACTCTGCATTCAGCTTATCATCGTAGTAACAATTTCTTTCTAGGATGGAGTGAATCTTTTCTGCATACAGACGGGCACCATCACAAATAATCTATTTAGTTAAAAAAATATAGGTAATACATGTATGACCCAATTTATCTAAATCAATTATAACGCTCACCTTTCATAATATTATATGGTCTTGGCTAAAAAGCATGCAAAGCCTTATGTTATTCTGCTCTCATCTGCTCTCATAAACATTGATGAACTTAATTACAGATACGAAATAGTTTAAAATTTATGCACCTTAAACACTATAATGACACAAAGAATTGCAGCAAGTATTATCAGTGGTTAACTTTATTACACGTTGCTCACTAATATTTTATGCTGCTGTTTTACATTTTCTTTTTATAGAACAAAATGTGTTCCGTTTGTATTTTATACATACATAAACATTTATCTTTATAATGCTGACACTGCATACTATAGCGTTTTTTCTTTCACGTTTCACGGAATTTATCATATCTAAACATATAACAAGAAAAGCATTGATGCAAAGCATCAAAGGGCGTCCAAGCAAGAAAAGCAGCAAGTGAAGATGAACTAGTAGACATATGATGACAAAATATTCTTATACACTTTTCAATGGTTAATTGGTTTTTACCAGAATTGTATATCACTTATGAATGAGCGTGTTCATTATGAACTTTGATTGGCATGCTAGAGATTAGAATATTACTTTTTATTTTTCTTTATGACCGTGGTTATTAATAGCAACGGATATACATGTATACAATTATTTATAATCCATATGTGTAACGCATGGTGAACACGTATACCACACCTTTGTAATTGTCCCTTATTATGTTATCGCTATTAGCGAAGACCCCCTATTAAGGTATCTGTTCACACTTAGTAAAAATATGACACTGGTTATATTAACATGTTGGTTATGTTGAGCATAATTTTTTATTATACAATAATTGTAATATCTATTAATTTTAATTAAAAAAAATACAAATTTTATTAATATTGTTTTCTTTTCTTTTTTGTGTTTTATGTTATATTTTAATACTGAGTTTTTTATGTTTACGAGCGTACTACTCTTTTTTTTTATTAAAATTGTAAAATAAATTTTAAGAATTCAATTGCCATATTGACTGACGATTATAATTAAGTCAAAACTTAACTGGAAAAAGTCAGTAAATTATGGTTTATCTTTCAATATATAATATTGTTTATTCTTAAACCATGTACATGTACATTTGTATTTTTCTTTATCATTTTTTAAATTATCAATCAATTGAATAATTCATAAAATCTAATTTGTAGTCCTCGGCATCTTTACTAAACACGGATAACAAATTAAATAAAATGTTTCAAAGTTGATAATGTCATATTAATACCATAAAAATGTACCCTTTTCTAAATTATTGTACATATTTATTGTTTTTATCTCATATAGATAAAATGAAACATGCTATTGTTGTTTTTGTTTTTTTTTTAATTGTAACGATATCAAACATCTACTCCAAAACCGGGAGAGACCGGACAATAAACGTGTGGTACTATTCGCCGGTCACTATAGACCGGGAGAGACCGGGAATTACCGATAGGAGTGATAAATAGATATATCTATAAATAGATTTTCGGAATATTTAGGTCATCAACTGATCATTCTAGGATACATGTACAACAACAATAACATACCCTGATAACCCACTGTGTACTACAAAATTATAAATAAAAAAACTCGAAGAGTGCGATTTATTGACGGAAAAGGTTTTTTCATTGCGAAATTTTCCAGTTCGCTATTCATTGCAACATATCGCGACATTTAATTCTTAATTAATAATCAAGCACCCTCACACCGATCGGAATTATCGGCTTTTATTATGACCGACTAAAAGGCTCGAGAAGTTGCTGTCACCCTTTCTCAAAATCTGATTTCATTCCATAAGAGCGCCGCGCTTCGGCGCGGACGCCAATCATATGTATTTACAAAATTATGATCAATTCTATACTGCACGTTTGTAACATTGTTCTATATTGAATGATCGTGACTTTTATATAAAAAATTTATACACGACTGCTGTGAAGTTATAAGTGTTTACGTTTTGCTTCAAATGAAATAATTGTGATGTTTTATTAGCTCGTTATAAAGATGTCTGATGTTAAATGGCCGTGTATAAACAGCTGTTTGCAATATAAGCTTAGACAACCATTTATACAGAGTAAAATAACCTTTCAGACATCTTTACAACTTAAACAAGAATTTGTAACAGAGTTACCAACGTCCCCCGCCTCGGGGAAGTTTTATATGAAGCATAAAATTGTGCTATTTCAAAAGATTGAGGTATGGAATTCAGGACTTTCAGTCCAAAATTTTGATCAATGCTAGATCTGCAAATGCAACAATAAATTTATTAAAGAAGTACTAGTTCAATGAAACGCGGAACTTTAAAATTCTATCATGTTAACTTTTGACCTCTAAGTGTGACCTTGACCTTGGAGGTAGGGGTGCAGGTGTTGCGCATGACATATCGTTTTATTAATATTACTATTTGTGCCAAGTATTTTCAAAATCCCTTTAACTATGTAGAAGTTATAGATCAGACACAAAATATACCCTATAACAGACTATGTCAATCTTTGACCTTTAAGTGTGACCTTGGAGGTAGGGACCCATGTTTTGCACCTAACATATCATTTTGATCATTGTGATTATTTGTGCAAAGTATTTTTAAAATCCCAGGTTATAGACTGGACACAAAATATACCCTATAACAGACTATGTAAATCTTTGACCTCTATGTCTGACCTTGACCTTGGAGGTAGGGACACATGTGTTAATCATGACATATCATCTTATCATTGTGACTATTTGTGCCTAGTTATTTTAAAATCCTGAAGAAGTTCTAGATCAGACACAAAATATACCCTTAAACAGACTATGTTAACTTTTGACCTCTAAGTGTGACCTTAAACTTGGAGGTAGGGAAGCAGGTGTTGCGCAAGACACATTGTCTTATTATTTTTATTATATTATCTGTGAAAAAGTTATGAACTGAACACAAAATATACCCTGTAAAAGACTATGTTAATCTTTGACCTCTAAGTGTGACCTTGGAGGTAGGTGACCGGTTATTGGGCATGACACATTGTCTTATTATTGTGAACAATTGTGGCAAGTATTTACAAAATTCCTTCAAAGATAAGAAAGTTATGGACCGGACACGACATATACCATCAATTAGACAATGTTGACCTTGAATGAGCAAGTGCGACCTTGACCCTGGAGGTAGGGGTCTGGTTGATGCGCATGACACATTGTCATATTACAACAAACATTTGTGCCAAGTTATTTCAGATTCCTTTGATAAATGAAAAAGTTATGGACGGGACACAAAATATACCCTGTAATAGACTAAGTTAATCTTTGACCTCCAAGTGTGACCTTGACCTTGGAGGTAGGTGACCAGTTGTTGCGCATGACACATTTTCTCATTATTGTTAACAATTGTGGCAAGTATTTACAAAATCCCTTCAAAGATAAGAAAGTTATGGACCGGACACGACATATACCATCAAATAGACAATGTTGACCTTGAATGAGCAAGTTTGACCTTGACCCTGGAGGTAGGGGTCTGGTTGATGTGCATGACACATCTTCTTATTATAACAAACATTTGTGCCAAGTTATTACAGATTTCTTTGATAAATGAAAAAGTTATGGACTGGACACAAAATATACCCTGTAATAGACTATGTTAATCTTTGACCTCCAAGTGTGACCTTGAGCTTGGAGGTAGGTGACCGGTTGTTGCTCATGACACATCGTCTCATTATTTTGAACAATTGTGGCAAGTATTTACAAAATCCCTTCAAAGATAAGAAAGTTATGAACCTGACACGACATATACCATCAAATAGACAATGTTGACCTTGAATGAGCAAGTGCGACCTTGACCCTTGAGGTAGGGGTCTGGTTGATGCGCATGACACATCATCTTATTATAACAAACATTTGTGCCAAGTTATTTCAGATTCCTTTGATAAATGAAAAAGTTATGGACCGGACACAAAATATACCCTGTAATAGACTATGTTAACATTTGACCTCCAAGTGTGACCTTGACCTTGGAGGTAGGTGACCGGTTGTTAATCATGACACATCGTCTCATTGTTGTGAACAATTGTGGCAAGTATTTACAAAATCCCTTCAAAGACAAGAAAGTTATGGACCGGACACGACATATACCATCAAATAGACAATGTTGACCTTGAATAAGCAATTGCGACCTTGACCTTGGAGGTAGGGGTCTAGTTGTTGCGCATGACACATCGTCTTATTATAACAATCATTTGTGCAAAGTTATTTCAGATTCCTTTGATACATGACAAAGTTATGGACCGGACACGAAAGTGTGACGGACGGACGGACAGACGGACGGACGGACGGAGCCTATTACTATATCCCCCTTTTTTTCTTAGAAAAGGCGGGGGACAACAAGAGCGATCAGTAATCACATGTGTCGCCTCATGATGGCCAATTTCATGTTGGGACAAATTTTGTGACAGACGGACAGACAGACGGGCAGTGCACAACTAGACTTGGTACTGATCATTCCTGTAAAGTTTGGATGAAATTGCACCAGTAGTTTATGAGGAGTAGTCCGGACAAGCTTTTGCGTATCTGGCAACACACAGAAAAAAACACCTTTTTATCAAAGGGCCATAACTCGGCCAAAAATCATTCAACCAGAAAACCCCGTGCAATATGCGCAAGGACTTGAGCTACAGATCACTCCTGTAAAGTTTCATTGAAATTGCATTAGTGGTATAAGAGAAGTAGTCCAGACAAACTTTAACAATAAAAATTATTAAAGGGCCATAACTCTGACAAAAAATCATTAAACCGGAAAATGCTGACAATATGCACAACTAGACTTGGTACTGATCATTCCTGTAAAGTTTGGATGAAATTGCACCAGTAGTTTATGAGGAGTAGTATTGACAAGCTTTTGTGTATCTGGCAACACAGAGAAAAAAAACACCTTTTTATCAAAGGGCCATAACTCGGCCAAAAATCTTTCAACCAGAAAACCC